CAGTTCACCTGCAGCTGTGGTGAAGCATAAATAGGACTAACTTTTTGTAGGAAAGTCAGTCACCCTGAACGACTTAGTATTTACATAGGCGGTAGCTGTCGAATACATGCCGCTGCTTGAAAGCTTCAAACTTTAAGGTCACGTTGCACAAACATTTCAGGATGGAACGAATAGAAGCGTTGAAGACAGAGAATTTCGTCTGAGAAGTAACCTCGTTACGCACCTAGGGCGTATCCTCGCTGGAATCGAATCATGTAGAACAATGTCATCTTTGCGGGAATACTGATGTGATAGGCCATAAGGTTCAGTTAAGTTTGTACAACCATTAACCATTCACTATTGTGCGCAGGTTTTGGTTGCTGTCTTTTGGCCTAACGTGACCTATGTGACCCAGACTCCTGGTTAGGCTTTTCATACCCTCGTGCCAGGTCTCAGCTTTAACCACCCTTGGCTTTCTTCCACCCATCACCTGCCTCGGCGAACATCACTCGTCGTGGCAACCAATCTGTGGACATGCGCAGGACATGCCCCAATCACCGTAATCTATGGAAGTCGACCATCTGCTCCAGTGGGCGACCGCATTTACCTAAAACTGCGCCTAACCTCAGCATTGCTCGTCCGGCTGACCCTCCTTTCCGACCAAGCAGCTCAGATGGCTTCTGCTGAGAAGGCTCTACTCACTGCCTCCAGGGGTGTTTCCAAACCAAAATGAGGGAGCAAAATGCCACCATCCAGGTCGTTGGAGCATGGACAGTTCACCTCAGAAACTTAACTGCAAGCCAACCGAAAGAAGTATGGACCACAATTTCCTACTTGTTGTAGTGGTCGCCGGCTCGAGTGGATAACGAGGCCTATTGGACTTTTGCCTCCATTTACAGACCGTATGGTCCGATGAGCTGGAAATCGCTCCCTAAACAAACTGCCCTGATAAACAGCCTGGTAGTCTTTGGCGCGCCGAAGGTTTCGGTTGTGAATTCAAGAGAATTAATCTACTTTGGCCTGGGCAACGTGGCAGTATTCCGCCCACGAACCGCTTTCTTTGTTATGAAGATTGCAACGTAACTTGTTCGGCACAAGGTCTGGACTCAGACGCGAGTGAAATGTCATCGAGATAGATGCCTCTCCTTTTCGCCAAATTGAGAATCTTTTCAACTTTTCCTGAAAAAGAGAACAGTGAGTGATTAGACGGCTTTGATATTTTCAGGAGTGCTCGGATTGTGAAATTTCGCAACAGAGGTGGCGGAGTGGCCACTTTCGTAAATCGAAGTTGGTGCAAGAACACTCGTTTGATTTTTTCCTACTCAACAAGTAAAATTAACTGTACTTTTGTTTGCTACAAGCCCCGCTTTCTCAGCAGATTTCGCTTCATTTACATTGTGAATATTTATATTGCCCCTGATACACTCGCCCCCGACTTAAGACTATTTTCTGACACGGTAGTAACGCAATTCGCCAGTTGTATTGACCAGTCCTTATGTATTACCGCTGGTGACTTTAATCACTTTGATACTTCCTTTCTAACCATTCTAGGCTTGGAGAACCTTGTCAACTTTCCAACCCGTACCAATGCCTTTCTTAATGGCATTTATGTAAATAATCCCAATAGGTTTCACGTTTCTAAATGAACCCCAATTAGCACTTCTGACAACTGTACCATTCGTCTTTACCCCAAAATACATTGTAAAACTAATCACTGCCTTCATACACTACCCACATCTCGCACGCTATGGAAGAGAAATTGTTCTCCTGAGAACTTGTCCCGACTGCGGGACTTAGTTTCTTCCACTGACTTTTCTGTGTTCTTCCATAATCAGCTGTTTCTTCTTGTGAACACCTTACCGATTATCTTAGTTTCTGCTATGACCAATGCAGTCCTGTTGAAATTATTCATATTCGAACCGATAGGTTTTCCTTTCACTTTCTTAAGCGACTTCCTCGTGCTAAAGAGATGGCATATATGGCCGGCAGGCGTAACAGTGTCAAAGAGCTCTCTGTTCTGATTAGAGCAGAAGTAAGACGCCTGAACGGAATGTACAGCGAGACTGCTTTGGGCAACAAAAACTTTCGTGAGATGTGGACTACCTTGCGGAAACTCTGACTCACGCAACAGCCCTTGTCCCAATGTTGAGGTATTTAACCGTCAATTTGCTCCTGTACCTGTCTCTAGCTCCCTCCCACCTCCTTTTCCTACCTATAAGGCAATAAACCCTGTTTCTCCGAACGAAGTTCTCCAAGTTTTGAAGAGACTCAAGGCCAATAAAGCTCATGGTCCCGATGGATTAGCACCTCATTTGTTGAAAGCCTGCGCCGACCAGCTTGAGACACCCATTGCCGAATTGCTCAGTACTTGTTTGTCATCTGGAACGATCCTCGATTTTTGGAGGTCAGCCTGGATCAGACCAATCCCAAAAAAAGGATCGTCAAAGTACCGTCCTGTTGCCTGCACATCTCTTTCTGAATGCTTTTGAAAATGTTTTGCTGCACCGCATGATACTCCAGTATAACTCCCATGACCCTTTACAATATGCTTATAAACCCCATTTATCCACACTTGAAGCCGTTGCTCATATTGTTCATTCTGTTGCTTCCGTCTTAGACAATGGCGCTGGTACCACTCGTTTAACTTTTCTTTACTATACAAACGCTTTTGGTTCTCTCGACCGAAGACTGCTTATTGATCATCTTTCTGAGTGTGGTCTAACTCCTGAAGTCTTAAATGTACTAATCAACTACTTCTCCCGTAGGACTTGGTTTACTTCACTCAACGGTGTACAGCCTTCTCTTAGCATCGAAGTCGGTGTTTTTCAGGGTGCCATTTTATCCCCTTTCTTGTTTTCTATGTATGTACAAAATCTGCCCATTCCCACCAAGTTTATTGCTTGTAAGTACGCTGCCGATATTGCGATTGGTTGCCCAGCCCCTATTTCAGACAGTTTTCGACCTCTCCAGGACAGTTTTAATAAACTTCACGATTGGTCTGTGACCCGATCCCTTGTACTTAACATCAGTAAGCGCATTGAAGTTCTAATTAGTTTTAAAACCGGCTCCCGTTATCTCTCATTAGTTGATAATCTCCCTGATCTTAGAATTAACAATCAGAGCACTCCCAAATCTCTATCTGTTAAATACCTTTACCCTTACCCATAATCTGTCCTGGTCTGCTCATGTCATCAATGTTTTCACAAAAGCTCGAAAACTGTCTTTCCATGCTTACAGGCTCAGGAAATTGGCCGAACCACATAATCTTGTTCTTAAATTTGTGATTGCCTGGCTACACTGCTCCCCGATTTTTGTCCTGGGACTGAAAGAAAACGACTTCTCTTTATTTTCAAGATCCCTCGAACTTTTGTCCCGCTACAGTGGAGTTCATTTCTTTACTTCCAAGCACCTTGACGCTTGTGATACGTTCATTGACAGGATAACACGTAATCAAGGGAACTGTCTGCACCAAGAGATCGCGAAAGCCCTTTCAAATCCCCGGACAGGCTTCAAATATCAACTGCTTCCTGCGCGGACTTCCACCTGTCGAAACAGTGTAATTCCATGTCTAGCTCATTTACTAGTAAATAGTCAGAATATTCTCACCCACCTCAGGGAAAAGCTCTTGCCCTAATTTTTCTCTCATTTATTTAGGCGTAGAATTTCTTCTTTTGTCTTTTTTGTTTGCAATTGTTTTACCTATCCATTGTAAAAATCGTGAACTGCTGCAATCTACCCTTTGGGTGCATAAAGCTTTTCTTGACTGGACTTGAGCACGCAGGTTTGTTTGCAGCAAAAAGTATGAACAATAAAACGTGTACGTCCTCCGGCTTTCGCGCAGCACTACTTGACGCCCGAAACGGAAAACATACTCAATCGTCATCATCGTACAGTGAAACACAGTGAAGTGAACTTCACTGATCGCTGCCAAACTCGCAACGCATACAAGATTAGTGGTAACAGTTAAGGTTCAGTTCAGTTCTTACAACCATTAACCACGCACTTTCGTGCGCCGGCTTTCGTTGCCCATTTGGATAAAACAGCAGAATGATGATTAGAATGTTGAGAGCAGATTTAAGCGGAAGGTAGCACATTTTGATAGACTGCAGTTACAAGAATAATGAGTAGATACATGAGTGCCATTGTTTGTGACACCCAGCCATACCATTCAGGGTCTCTAAGTTAGGGTCGATGGGGATTGGACCTACTTTTAAAGGAGGGAGAGGGTGGACCACTATGGTCAACACAGTGCACATCGAACCCTGTATACATGTCGTTTCAAGCGTTATGACCTGATAAGAAATGACAACAATAACGCCACTGCTGTCGTTTGGCTGCCATATCCTTCAATGTTTCCAACGAAGCAGATGTGCAGTCTTTCGGACCCCAACCTAGAAGGCGAGAGACCTAATTTACCTAATGGTGCAGTGCATTTATTCGTGCCTCGTCTTCACGTGGTTTCCTCCAGCCCGGATTAGCTAGGGCGAATAAAGTGCGGTGCGGCAGACGATAGCTAGACATACACAATACGCACCCTGACCAGCGAAGTCTACTAATCTGAACTCGGTGTGCTAGCAGGTTTATACCTGATAGAGCTCCAAACACACGACGGCTTACCTCCACATAACTAACCCGTTCGCTCCAGCCCACGTGGGCTAAACTGCGTAAACACCGACAATTGAAAACCTCTAGTCGACGGATATTTTCTACTCGCAAATTCAAGGTCTCACAACCATAAAGCCGAACTGAACGAACGGTGGCACTATATACACGACCTTTCAAATTCAGTGAAACTTCAAGCAACTAGCATACGGCGTATTAAATCCTTCAACTAACCCCTGGTGTTATTTTTGACAACAATGACTTAGACATTGCTGAACTTCGAAATGAACCACAGAATAACTGGCAAGTGAGAAAGATAGTTACTATCGCACCATATTACTGGGGGTAGGAAAATGTACAGAAAAGGGGGATCCGAACAAACACCAAAATTATGAATGGAAGGAATTGTGGCGATAAAATTACAACTCTTCGTGGTCGGTCTTCTCAGACTTTTCCTCCGCTTCTTCTTTTTCCTCAGATTCTTTAGTCTTCTTTTCTTCCTCCTCTTTCTTCTTCGCTTCTTCCTCCTCTTTCTTGGCCTCTTCCGCGTCTTTCTTCTCCTTCGCAGCTTTTTCAGCTTCATAGCGTACCTTCCAAACCTTTTCACCTTCAGTGTGAGCGAATTCGGGATCATCGGTCAGTAAAATGTTATCGAATATTGAGCCCGAGTTAACTTGCCACAAATCGAAGCCAACGTATGCGACGTCATTGAGAGCGTACAATTTATCATCGGGGTGATAGTCTGGATTGTCAATCTGTGGGGCCTTCCATTCGCCTTTGTAAGCCGGGTTTGGTATTTTCTTAGGTTTCCACTCTCCTTTGTAATCAGGATTATCGATTTTGGGTGGCTCCCACTCGCCATCCATTTCATCATCCCAATCTTCCGGTTTTTTAGCTTGAGGATCGGGTATTGTTTTCACCTCTACCCAATCATCTGGCTTTTTGTCATTGGGGTCATCCATTTCTGGGTCATCGATCCAGTCAGTTGGCTTTGATACTTTGGGATCCTAAAAGCGTCGCATATCAGATGGAAATCAAGACTTACATTAATTTTCTTCGGAGGAAGAAGATCCCAATGCTCCTCCAAAGATCCACTCTTCTTTTCTTGATTGTCCACCAATATTTTGTATGTGTTGTCCGGGTTAAAGATGAGAGTGAACAAATGAGTCAACTGATCATCGGGACACGGGACTTCTTCCTTGTGAAGATGATTTTTCCCCTTATACGGTATAACTACGTGAACTTTCTTTGTACTATACCCACAAATATCAGGTCCTGTAACCAAATGTAAACAGGTATTGTTAAACTAACCGAACATCAGTTTATATGGCGCATCGCCGTGTATATCCTTAGGGTCCAGGTCAGAACCGAACAACTTAATATAGGCACCACCACAGGAAACACTCTGATCGTACTTCACTGTGTACTGAACAACAAAAGTTTTTCCTTCAGTTGAAATGGGTTTGTCCAGTTTTTTCGCAATTCCATAATATCTGAAATCAGTTTTCGTCTGGAGTCCGAGATCTTTATCATCTACAGGTTCTTTTCCGGCAGAAATTTCCCAATCTCCTTGACTGTCCTTGTGGTGAGAAGATTGAACCCAATCGTCTAAAACTTCTTCTGATAATTGGAAGAAATAAGTATTCTTAAAAATTAACTCACTGTTGGCAAATTTCTCGTAAAAATACACTTCGCCATGCACTATGGCTAACAAAACACAAGCACAAAGAAAGTTCACAGCAACCATCGCACCAAAAAAAACGTGTAGCAGCTGGTGTTCATGAACAATATATAAGAAGCCGACAGCCAATCAGAGTGAACCACAGCAATGATGACCCAATCTTCATAGTTAGGTCAAACAAACAACGTCAGTTCAATTCAGGTCAGGTCAAGATGCACAGAAATGATAATGGCCACGGCCAATCGAGCATCCAAATTTTTTCCGGCAGTATGCTCACAAAATGTGCACCAACCGCTGCGAATTGCCTTCAGAACGGCGTCCTTGCTGAAAAGGAAAGGAAAAATCTCGTCTCTTTTCACCTCAGGTCAGGTCAGGTTGCACAGGACTGATAATGACCACGGCCAATCGAGCGTCCAGATTTCTTCCGGCAGTATGCTCACAAAGTGTGCACCCACCACTGCAAATTGCCTTCAGAACACGTCCTTGCTGAAAGGGACGGAAAAAGCGCGTCTCCTTTCACCTCATCGGCGAACAAGGGACATGGATCATGAAGGCGTTCCATATTACATTAAATATCTTATTCTGGAAAGAGCTCAAACCATCGCTCATCCAGGGCACGCTTAAATGAAGTCACACTTCCTAAGTCTACTAATTCCTTTGGCAACCTGTTCCAACTGTTTACTACTCCGTTGCTGAAGAAGCTGGATCTAATAGTCAGGTTGCAACGCTGCTTATGTAACTTGTACCCGTTCCCTCGAGTTCCTTGGTAGACAGCCTCCTGGAACATGCTCTCTTTCCTTACTCCCGAGAGCCCCTTCACAATCTTAAAGGTTTCCAGTAAGTCTCCCCTTAGTCTTCTCCTTTCAAGCGAGAAGAGATCTAAGTCCTTTAGCCTGTCTTGATATGACTTACCCTTTTGACCCTCAATCATTCGGGTGGCTAGTCTTTGAACCCTCTCTAAACAGGCTGCGTCCTTTTTGAAGAAGGGTGCCCAAGCCTGCACGCAGTACTCCAAGTGTGGCCTCACTATGGCTTTGTACAGGGGGAGGAAGACGTCAGCTTTCCTACAGGATAGCACAGACTTGAGCCTGAACAGCTCTCTCCTCGCCCTCGCCGCAGCCAGTACACATTGGTTCTCCCAGCGGAAATCTGCCGTCACCGATACTCCCAAGTCTCTGCTGGTTCTTACAATCCCTGTGGTGAACTCCCCTCCACCTAGTTGGATTGACAATTGTTCGTCAGCACGAGAAAGTAAATTACTCTTGTCTGCATTCAGTGGGAGGTCCCATACTGTTGCCCATTCAGTTGCTCTACGCAGATCATCCTGCAATTGCTGCCGACCTGTTGATCCAACGATCTTGACATCATCTGCAAAGATGAAGCAGGGCGAACGTAGGATTGCAGACAAGTCGTCTATGAAGATGAGGAACAGTAAAGGACCAAGCACTGAGCCCTGTGGTACTCCACTAGTGGATATGGCTGGTGCTGATACTTTGTCTCCGATCCTCACGTAAAACGTGCGACCGGTCAGGAATTCCCTAATCCAGTTATGAGTCAGCCCGCCTACCCCCTTGTGTTTGAGCTTGGCTAACAGCAACCTGTGGTTGACGGAATCAAAAGCTTTGCAAAAGTCTAAGTAACAGACTTCCACAGCTTTCCCCTCATCCAACCTCAAGGTTACCTCATCTAAAAAACACAGTAAATTAGATAGGCATGATCTACCCTTGGTAAACCCGTGTTGTTGGTCAGTAAGCAGTGAGTTATGGAGTAAATACTGTGCAATGTGCGTCCTCACTATCCGTTCTAGGCACTTGCACAAAATACTCGTTAGGCTCACCGGCCTGTAATTCTTAATCTGGAATTGTGATCCTCCCTTGTGAATGGCAACAACAGCAGCTGTTTTCCAATCCCTCGGTAGCTTGCCCTGATCTAAACTGGCTTGGTACAAATCCCTTAGCGGTCCCGCTACTATGTCCGCGATCGGCTTGATGACTGCCGGGTGGATTCCATCGGGCCCTGGAGATTTGCTTACGTTCAGCTCCGCTAATATCCGATGAACCATTTCTAATGACACATACATATTCTCCATTTCCTCTGATGAGGGGGCGAGATCCGGTAGTGCCAGATCGGCGCGATCTATTCGATGCACACTACTGAAGTATGTGCAAAAGGCGTCTACTTTTTCCTGATCATCGGTAACGGTCCTACCTTCCAATTGTAGCGGTCCCATCATCCTTTTATTGGGACCCCTGGCTTGGGCGTAGCTGTAGTAGCGTTTCGGCTCCCTTTTGGCTCGGCTGGCTAGTTTTAGCTCATAGTCCCGTTTACCCCTTCTAATGAGCGAAACTGCTTCGTTTCGATGTCTAGTGTAGTGCCTCCAAGCTATCTGGGAACCCGAAGCTCGAAAAGCTTTCCAGCTTCGATTTCTGCGTTTAATCGCCCTATCTACAGCTGCGCGCCACCATGGCGGTTTCTTTCTCAAACCCCGGTGAGTCAATGGAGCAAACTCATCTTGCAAATTGACCAAGTTATTCCTTATTATACTCCAACTTTCCTCGACGCCGACATTCTGTTCCGAACTATACCAAATCAGCTGAGCTGCCCTAGCTCGGAGTAGATTAACGTCCATCCTCCCAAAGTTCCTACACATCCCCTCCCGGGGTCTGGGTAGTTTCAACTGAAGTGTCATCTTGATGAGAAGATGATCACTTTTA